GCCCCCAAAGTCCTTGAAGTCCTTTCTTTCCCCCTTCTTCGGTACTATCTGCATCGCAGCGCAGCTCAGCGCTCAAATCGGAGGCCAAGCTAGTGGCCTTTGAGTGCATCGCGCCGGGTTGTTTCCCCAATATGTCCACCCTCCCAGGCAATGGCACCAACATCGACACTCCAGCCATGCCTCCGGGCACGCAGGAAAATGTTTATCAGCTGTCATCAATGGCAGGCGACCTGCGGTGATGAGCCTCCATGCGCATTCTATGTGAGTGTTCAAGTGGGCGTTGGTGGGCAAATTCAGTAGGCATGTCAGCGAGTGTATTAGTAACGTATTTTGGCATGTGCGTCAGTGAATATGTGCCCGTGGTGAATATGTTGTGCGTTGCAGCGCCTTGCAGCCCAGGGCACGGCGGTGAGGTGCGGCTGCGTTTCGCCGCCACCAAGGCAGAGGGCGGCGTGGCATCACTCGTGGAAGCTCGGACTGTGTTTGGAGAGCGGCTAGTGGAAGCCCTGCCCTCCAGTTCACCTGTCGAATGAGGCCCATTTCCTCCCACGTTAGCCCCTGGAAGCTGAGAACGGCGTGCATCATGCCCCCCACGCCCCCGGGGAAGGCTTTGAAGCGCGTCATCATGATGGACACGTTGTTGGCCCGCCTGATGTCAATCATAGTTGGGCGGCCCTCGGGGCCGCCAGCCACGGGGGCGGGCTTGGACTTGGAGGAGGACGCCCCAGCCCAGGCCGGGTTCCTGAAGAGGGACTCCAACATCTCGGCCATCTGGGGCACGAGGGCGGGGGCTGCGGGGAGGCTGCACCACACGGTGCCCGTGCGCCGGCTGAGCTTGCTCCAGTGGAACGTCCGAAGTTTGCGGACCTCAGCATCCTGCGGCACGTCATTGGTGGGGCGGCACGTCATTGGTGGGGCGTCAACGGGTGCCGTGCGGGCGAGTGTGCGGGACTGGCGAGCCTCGCTCTGGTCGCGTGCAGGGTGCAGATTCGGGAGCCCAAATGAGCGCGATGGCGCACAAAAGGAGGGGCCATGAATCCACGCGCGGTGCCTCTTGCATGCAGCCGAGCGTCCCCCAACTGGGAGCCTGTCATGCGCTGTGGGGCTGGGTGTGCTTTTTCAACATAATGTGGAGCCTGGCTGTCCACGGCGCTGCCCATGGTCGTAATGCCAGCGCGCGCCGCGTGAACGCCCAATGGTGACTCGACCTGGCAATGCAGGCCGGACTTCCGAGCGATGGTTTGTGTGATGTAAGCTGTCAGAACATGCCGCTGTGGTGGTGATTGTGTCCAAATGGCAGCGAAAGCCGTGCCCTGCGTTCAGCTGCCCTGATTGTCGTGGTGGGTAATCGAAAGCTGCGCCCCTGGTCCGTTGCACCATGTATGAGGCAAATCCCGTGCACAATTGAGGCTGCGTGCTCGCGGCGCTGGCATCCAAATCGGCTGGCTGGCTGGCTGGCTGGCTGGCTGGCCCACCTCGCCTGGCTTCTCGGTTTTGGGGGGCGGTGGTGGCGGTGCGGGTGGTGCCGCGGGCGGTCCCCTGACGACGGCCTTCGCCCGTTGCTCTCCCTCCGCCTCCGACGTCGTGCCTGCGCTGCAGGGGGCCTCTTGCGCCTCTGGCGCCGCTGTCTCCTCGGACACCGCGTCCGCGGGAGGAGAGGCATCTACAACAAAGGCAAGGCGCGCCGCACTTGGAATCTGAGTGACGGCACAGACCTGTTGCGGCGGTCGGTGAGGTTGGTGTGTCGGGGCGCTGGAGTGCGGCGGGAGTTTTTTGACCATCTGACGCGTTGGGCAGCTCCCCTAGAGCGCACAGTCCGTCCGGGGACGTGGCAACGCAGCCACAGAAGAGCGGAACGGCGGCGGCCGTCGGCAAATCAGCAGCTACGCGTGTGATCCTGCCGACTCTCCCCTGGCAGCGTGTACGACTGCGGGCGTCTCCAAGCTTGAACGAGGACGAACGCTTTCTCATTCCGACAGATTGTTCCCGCCCAGTATTTGAGCTTGCACTTCGGAGCATTTCGATTTTTTTTCGACCCACTTCTCAACTCGGACAGACTTTGGGCAGCGGCATTTTGGCAGGGATGCCAGAGCGGCGGGAAAATGGGCACAGAATTCGGCTGACGTTCGGGGGCGCACCCTGCTGGCCTCCCCGTGCCCTCCTCCGCCGACCGAGGGCCCACCGCGCGGCGGAGCCCCCAACCACGGCCAGCAGGCCGAGTGCAATCCACAGGGGGTCGCCCCCCCGCGCCTGTGGCGCCTCCCACTCTCGCCGTCGCCCATGCCTGCCCGCAGAGTAGAAAACAATTCAATAATTCTGGAAATGCGCCATGGGACAGTTGGCCCTGACGCCTGCGGCGGGATTGAGCCTCGCGCCCAGACGTCCGGGCTGGTGGGAGCGGCCGGAAGGGCGGCTGCGCCGACGTGCTGGAGGCCCCGGGAGAGCAATTCCCGGGAGTGGGCGGCCCCCCAAAAGCCGTCGGGAAATTCCTCCTCCTGGGAGGAGGGGGAGAGCGCCAGGGGCGACGGCCAGCGGCAACCGGCGCCGGCGCCCGAACTCGGCCACAAAAACGCGCGTGAGGCGACCAAAAATTTTTGAGAGCGCCGGCCGCGTCTCCCCTACCGCCGCTGGGGCGCTCTTCGCCGCGGGCGTCCTCCTGCTCAGCTGCCGCTACAGAAACGCGTGCCTCTCCTCCGCAGCCGGCTGGCAGGCAGGCGCCGAATGCCGCCACTCCTCGCTCCGTCGCACGAGTGTGGATTCCTGGTCGTCGCCCCGAGGATGGCGAAGACGAGAGACGAGCGGCGGGCGGACGGAAGTGGGCGGGAGCTGGGCGCTGTGCGGAATGACGTCTCCCGCCACTGGGGCGGCGCTTATGAATATGCTTGCTTTTTTAATCCCAACCCACCCCTCCTCACGCCGCCGGTTTGGGGCTTCATTGTGAGCATTTGTGACGGGCCCAATTGCGCGCACGCCGTTGTGCCACAGCGGATGAACGTGGGCGCTGGAGGCGCCGCCCAGAGCCCCGTTGGGGTTGTCCACTGGCCGTCAGCGGCGGCTCACCGGCATGGTGCACGAAAGACCCGCCCACAGTGCCACCAGTGGGCGGTGCGCAGGAGCACAACTTTGTAGCTATGTATTTAGTCCATGCAGCGCAAGGAGCCGCGGCGGCAAATCAATACGCCGCTGATGCCACAACTTGTCGGAACTTGTGGTCCGAGAGACTTCTTTTCAGAGGCTGCTGCTGAAATTCCACCCAGCAATGGGGCGTCCGGAAAAATGGCCATTTCGTCAAGTTGGCTCGCACCAGCGGCGCATTCAAGCCTTGAAATGCTTCTCGGAAGGTGTCTGAAGGGCGTCTGCGCCCTCCTGAAACGCGGTGAGTGCTGTCCTTGGGCGCGGAAGGCGTGGCGTTGGAGGAGGTCTAGTAGAAGCCATGCTAAAGTAGGCAGAAGTGAAGCAATACTGCCCGGAGCTTGTCCAGGTCAGAGTGCGTGTGCCCGCCGTGTGTCACGAAGTGTGTGTCACGAAGCGGAGTGCGTTCCTCACTGTCCTGTCGCAAATTGTGCTGGCCTGGAAACGAGGAGCGGGCCTGCGTGCCGGCGCCGCATTTTGGACGTTTGACAGCTGTAGGGGCATGAGGAGCTCCTGAATGAGCGTGCTGGGCGGTCGCTTTGCGTAGGTAGATGAGTTGCATTGCTGGCATGCCGCCCATTTTGCGTTGATTTGGAGTGTGCTGTAGACTGCGGGCACGCCCCCCGGTTGTCCGCCTCGGACGCGGTGGAGAGCCCACCACGGACACTCGCTTCGCCGCAGTGCTCCACAGCCCGCGCACCTCCCGCCCAGGCAGAGCCAGCCGGGAGTGAATGGTCCGTCGATCGGAGGTGAGTCCCCGCTCCCATCAGTGTTGCCCCTTGGATGCTGCCGTTTCGGGCCGGTGCCCGCCTGTACAAGGCCGCGTTGTGTGTGGCCACAACCCTGCCCTCGCACCGAGCCTCCCGTGGCGTGAACATGCAGCGATCCAGTGCCATTTGGTGTGAGCGCGGCCTTCCAGAGGGCGCTGCGAGCGCATTCCCCCTGCCATGCCCGGTGTTTGGCGCAGGCAGCGGGCAGCACGCGTGGTGTTTCTTGGGAACCCCGGCAGGCAGGCAGGCAGGCAGGCAGGCAGCGCAGTGCACCGCCGTGCAATGCGCTGCAATGCACTGCAATGCTGCCAAGCCATGCGGCACAGGACTACCCGTGGGTCGGCTCGCCCCACGCGGCGTTGGCGATGGGCATTGCTGTGCTTGACGCCAGGCGGCCGGATGCGCAAATGGCTGCTGCGGATTGCTGGCCCCCACAAAGTAATGGCCGCCAAAAGTCGCAAACTGCGCTGCGCAACTGTGCGTCTTGGGGGGGTGCACACGTTGCTTTCCTCGGAGTGGCGGGGCTTGGCTTGGCGCTCGAAGGGAAGACGAACGGACGTTGTGTGCACATATGTCTAGTGCACATTTCCTGCAAGTGAACCCGATGGGCGCCAAGGGGTGGCGCCCATCGGGCGCCACCCCACACGCGACGCGACGCGACACGCGACGCGACCCTTCCCGTCATCTGATTGGCCCAAACCTGCCAGGTCACACGCGACGCGCGACCCTACACGCGACCCTAAACGCGACCCTACACGCGACTCCGTTGACTAACAGAAGGCCAGGCGCCAAGCGAGCTGCGAGGCGCAGGCCCTTGGCTGTCGACACGGCCGCAGGAGCTCCAGCGACGCGCCTGCACGGCCTTCCCCACCCTCCAGTCGCAGCCCGACTCGCTGGACGGCCGGCCGTCGCCGCACGAAGCAAGGCAGGTGGGCGAATGGGGAACGGCGCAGCGAGGAAGGAGGGGTGGGGGGAGGGAGATTGCCACAGGAATTGGAAAGCGGGTGGGCGGGCGAAGGGGCCTGTTTGGCCCGCGGAAAGGCGCGGGCTGGGGCCCGATTTGGGGGAGGGATCGGGCGGCATCCAGTCGCGGCCCCCGGGACCGGACGGCTGGCCGTGGCCGCAAGAACCAAGGGGGGTGGGCGAACGGCGACCAACATGAGAGCAGGTAACGAACAGAATAGGGATCAAATGGAGTGGAGCTAGCAGAGAGAACCAGTTTAGCCTGCAGAGAGCAAACTAAGAGACCAGTCACAGAGGAAGGATAGGCAACAATCCGCAGCCCAGGATGGACAACTTCAGCCAATGCTCACAAGGTCAAACAGGTAGAGACATTTTCAACACAACAAAGCAAGGTAAAGAGCAGAGATTACCCACAAAGGGATCAGGTGGAGCAGAGCAGAAACCAGTTTAGCCTGAAACATGGACAGTCAATCAAACAGTTAGACCAACAGAACCAGTTTAGCCAATCAGAAACGCAGGCTAGAACCCAGTAGAGGAAAGGATAGAGAACTATCAATCCGCAAAAGCTCAGGACCAACCAACTAACCATCTTCCCTCGCTCAAGAGAGTGGAACAGATAACGACTCAACACAACGAGGAGAACAGAGTAGCAGGCAAGATACCGCAGGGATCAGGTGGAAGCTAGCAGAAACCCGGTTAGCCTGAAAAACGCAAACGCTAGGACTTTCAATAGAGGAAAAGGGATAAACGCTTATCAATCTTTTAACCAAACCAGATTTTCAACAACTCCATCCCTGGAGGCAGGTCGAGACGGAGCAACACAACAAGGAGAGCAAGGGTCTAGAGACAGAGGATAAAGGGATCCAAGGAATTAATGAGAGGGTGGGGAATTGGCAAAGGGCCAGTTTGAAAGCGCCGCAGGAAAAGCCTGAGCTAGAACCGGGGGGCTAGAGGATGGAGCGGAGGGCATAGAAGGTGAGGATGGGTGGAAACGCATCTTGCTCGAAACCTCAAGGCAAGGGCTGTCGAACACCTATCTTCAAA